ACTTCCCGGCCGAGGAAGAGGAGCCCTGGTACGACCAGCAGGATCTGGAGCAGGGTGAGCGCGTGGCGCAGGGAGGGCGGGCGGGAGGGGAGGACGCGGGTGCCCCTGCGACCCCGGGCCCGCTACTCCATTGTTGGGGGAGGCGGGGTGACCGTCACCCGGGCTGGGCTGGGCTTGAACCCGGGCAGCGCTGAGTCGGGAGGATGGGAGGAGGGGAGGGGGGCCTGCTGTGGACAGTAGTAGATCCTTGACCAGTAAATCCTGGACGGGGCGGAAGGAGACCTACAGAAGTGCCTGGGTATTCTTCCCATTTCTCCACCCGCCAGCTCAACCCAGAGGCAGCCACAGCTCGGGTGCCCCTGGTTTTGTTGGGGTGCGGGGGGCTTGGGTACTGGCTGGAAAGCCTATGGGGGTGGGTGGCGATGGGGGCTCAGGGCCTGTTCGGGTGAGAGCGTGTAATCTAGGTGAAGGGAAGTCATCTCTGGAGATCCAGCCGCACCTGTTCCTGCCAGGATTTCCGAGCGCTGCTGAGACTAGCAGAAAGTTTCCCCGACTCGCTTGACTGTACCCAGGGAAGGGGGTGGGTGCGGGCACCAAGCCCGGCAAACAGAAAAGCCCCAATCTGTCTTCCTGAGGGGAGGAGGAATCGCCTAAGCCCCCTTCCCTTCCCAGGACCTCCTCCCCCAAATGGCTTCCTGCCTAGGGAAGGTCGAGTTGGGGAACTGCAGACCACGTCCCAACACAGAGCCTGAGAAAAGCCGTCCCTTCCACCACCACCGCGTCCCTCCGAGGGCGCATCTCGGGGCGGAGAGGGCCACTGGAAGAGGTTAGAATCTGGTGATGAGGTGGCATCACTGGGAGGAGGGGTGGAGCTGTTGGGACAGGAAGGAGAAGACTTGAGGGTCATGGCTGAAGCCTGCTGGAATGGAATCAAATCCATCCTCTCCAACACCAAAGGGCCGCTTTCTTGGATGCTGAGGGCTCTGAAGGCACAAAAACAAATGTCCAGGGAGAAGGGACCTTCCCACTGTCATCTGTAAAGCCCGGAGGCTGTGGACACAAGCCTGGCACATTCGGTGCCCTTGGTACCCTGGTCTCTGTCTCAGAAGACCTAGAGCTCTGGCTCTAGGTCCCCACAGAGAACATCCACCCAGATCCTGCAGCCTTTGTTTCCCTGCCCTGACCCACTTCTCCAGGCAGCCAAGACTCACAGGCAGATGAGGCTCTATCCTTGTGCATAGAACTGTGGGTCAATCAGAGCCTTGGGGGGGGGGCGAAGGGGGGGGTGAATCATGCCAGATGGAGGATGTTATGTTAGACCCTGCTGTGCGCTATTCTGTGGACTGTAGCCTCAGCCAGCCTGTGGTGAGATGCCCCCCATACTGGCTAGGACAGTGTCCTCTCCCACCCTGGGTAACTTTTCCATTCCACAAACCCCTCTGGGCCTCACTTGCATGCTAGATCCCATCTTGGAAATTCAGAAGAGTGACCACCTTGACCTCTAGGTCTACCTGGGCCTGTGGAGGAGGCTTGCTTGTAACTATAGGTGGCAAGCGTGTGTCGATGACTTCCTGGAAGTGGCAGTTGCTAAGTTCAAGGGAAGATGGCCTCCAGGGAAGGCAGATGCTGATACCGCTGGCGTCTCATTTAGTTCCAGCACTCTTGATGAAGGCTTGGCACTGTGCCCGGCCCAGATGTGGGAGGAAGGAGCCAGGGAGGTGGGGCAGGAAGGCGATGAGCAGCTTCTGAGGATAGGGAAGTGTGGAGATTCCAGTAGGGCCCCTGAGCTTGGTGAGGAAATGGGCCCTATAGGCCCCCATCTTTTCTGTCCCTGCTAGTCTGCACTAGTCATGTGGGTAGCTGGAGCCCAGGAACAAGTTGGGGAGGGAGAACTAGTAATTAGACCGACTGGAAAGCAACTGGAACTTCCCACCAGAATCCAAGGTATCTGTCTGCCATGGGCCAGGGGCTGTGCTGAGCCTGCCCTCTGAGGACCCCACATTCCAGCAGAGAAGATGGAAATGAGATCACACCAACAGCTATGTCCCCTCAACGGGGGATTTGCAATCCCCTGCACCAGACACAGTGAAGCTTGCGCTGGAGGGCCGAGGAAGGAGAAAAGGACATTTGTACCAAGGTCCAGGAGCCAAATGAGAAACTAGACAGTAGGAAGTGGGGGGTATAACCACTGAAGCACCAGCACCCCACCTCTGCCTGGCTAGGAGAGCAGCTGCAGCGGGGGGTCACATACCTGTTGAATTCCTCTTTCCCACACCCAGTCTTCAAATTCTCTTCTGTCCCAGCTGCTCCCTGGTGGCCTCTGGGTGGCCCAGGGGGGATGATTTTCCTCTCTAGTCATTCATCAAGTCCCCCTCTTTCCCCTAGCCAAGTACAAACCTGACTTCACTTTCCACATGTTTGGCCCTAGAGCCAAACTGTGACTGTGGCTGTGTCCCAAGGGAAGGAAGTGATGGAGACAGACAAGGGCCTAGATTTGCTGCGTTCTCTCTACCCACTGCCACGACCACTTTAAAAATAGAAAAAGCCATGAATTATTAAGCGCTGGCTCTCTATCTACCCACCCCCTCCCCCACATTGGACCCAGTGGGGCAGACTGTGTGGATACCTCTGTCCAGGCAGAGATGGCTGCTGACTCACAGATTTAAAAGTCCCGGGCATCTGCCTAGCCTGACCTTGAGTCCTCTCCCTCTAGGGAGAGCTCTGACATGGCAAGAGGAGGGGACATTCTTCTTCCATCTTGGGTGTCCTAAAAGACCTGACCACCACTCCCCCTCCTCTCCAAATCTGTGAGCTCCAGAATTCCTGAGAATTCCTGTTCCTTTCCTTCCAGTCTATTCTGGAGTCTGCCCTTCCTGGCCAAGGATTTTCATGTTTCTGGTGGTGCTAGGGATTGAACTCAGTGCCCTGAGCTTCCTAAGGCAGGTATTCTACCACTTGAGCCATGCCTTCCTTTCCAGCTTTTTGCTGGTTAATTGGAGGTGAAAGTCAAATTTGTCTGCCTAAACTGGCAGACTCCTTAAATCTCTCCTTAAATCTCAGTGTTCCCGGGAGCCGGTGGCTCCTGCCTTTAATCCTAGCTACTCAGGAAGTTGAGATCTGAGGATCACAGTTCAAAACCAGCCCCGGCAGGAAAAGTCCATGAGTCTCTTATTGCCAACAAACCACCAGAAAAACCAGAAGTGGCACTGTGACTCAAATGGTAGAGCGCTTGCCTTGAGGTGAAGAGCTAAGGGACAGCACCCAGGCCCCGAATTCAAGCCCCATGACCCAAAAAACAAACAAACTCAGCCTCCTGAGTAGCTCGGATTACAGGTGTGAGCCACCAGTGCTTGGCTTGATGGTTATTTTCTAGGTAGGGTCTTTCTGTATTCCTTGGGCAGCCTAGGCTGTAATACTCCTGTTCATGCTGCTGGAGGTGTTAGGTGTGTGCTTTTGTGCCCAGCCAGTGCTTTAGATGGAGTCTCACAAACTTCTTTTTGCCCAGGCTGGTCTAGAACCATGATCCCTCAATCTCTGCTTCCCCCCAAGTAGCTAAGATAACAGGCTTGAACCACTGTACCTGGCTTTGCTTTTGAGACAGCTAATATGTAACCTGCCTGGCCTTGAACTTCACTGGAGATTTCCTTTCAAAGACAGCCCCTGAACCCTTAGCTATTCCCTCTCAGGCCTCTGGAGCAATGCATCATAAAAACACTGAAGTCCCTTGGAAGGAACCCCAGAAAACCCTGAGGCCCAGGCAGAGGAAGTGTGAGCTCAGACTCCACAGCTTCCCTGGCTTGGTCCTGTTTATCTGGCCATCGTCATCTGTTTGTCACTCAGCACAAATCCCACAAAGCCACCCTCCCCGGAACCTGGAGCTGCCTGGTGATTCTGAGTCTTCTGCCCTGCAGCTTCTAGACTCCTGCGATTCTCCTGTGGGGGAATCTGGCTGGGACCAGTGTCGTGGTCTGAGATATTCCTCCTTGTCCCCAGGTGGCTTGCACGATGACCCCTCCTCCCTGTCCCTGAAGAAGTAGGTGACTAGGTTATGAAGCAGTCTCTGATGACCCCACTCATAGCACCAAGCGTGAACAATAGGACTCCGAAAGCCAGACACACACTGGCCTGGAAGGAGAAGCACTCGGGCCTTTCCTCTCTCCCCCTCTGACGCTGTGTCTTTGGGCCCTGGTGAAGGTGCAGAGGCCTCACGCAGTCCACCTTGTAGAGTGCTAGCAATAGCCTCTTTGAAGACCACGTGTCATAATTCGTGTGTGTGTGTGTCTGTGTCTGTGTCTGTGTCTGTGTCTGTGTGTGTCTGTGTGTGTGTTTGAAAGTACTGGGGCTTGCTCTCCCTTAGCTTTTTCACTCAAGGCTGGCATTCTACCACTACAGCAACAGCTCCACTTTTGGCTTTTTGGTGGTTAACTGGAGATAAGAGTCTCTCCATTTTGTCTACTTAAGCTGGCTTCCAATCTCAAGTCTTCAGATCTCAGCCTCTTTTTTTTTGTACACAGCACCACTTCCAGTTTTCTGGTGATTAATTGGAGATGAGAGTCTCACAGACTTTCCTGCTCTGGCTGGCTTTGAACCATGATCCTCAGATCTCAGCCTCCTGAGTAGCTAGAATTACAGGCGTGAGCTACTGGTGCCCTGCTAAGGTTTCAGGTTTGTTTTGATGATATTTGGCCTTTTGTTCATGCCAATAGCAATCAGGCCCCTCTGGCTTCCAGTTAAGTCCTGTGTCTAGTTTGGCTGAAAGAAATCACAAGGCTTTGCTTAAGGGTCCCATGAGGAAGGCCTCCAACCACCTGCCTGACATGTAGCAAACGGCTAAGCAGAGACAACCATATTTATGAAGTTTGTTAGGACAAAAAAGGAAGCCCACCCAGAAGTAGTATTAGGTCTAAAAAGGAAAAGCATTAATGCTGGGGCCAGTGGCTCATGCCTGTATTCCTAGCTACTCAGGAGGCTGAGATCTGAGGATCACAGTTCAAGCCAGCCTGGGCAGGAAAGTTCATGAGACTCTTGTTTCCAATTAAACACCAAAAAACTGGAAGTGGAACTGTGGCTCAAGGTGGTAAAGCACTAGCCTTGAGTGAAAAAGCTCAGGAACAGCACATAGGCCCTGAGTTCAGGCCCCCCCAACAGACAGAAAAAAGAAAAAGCATCAACCAGCTGAATCCTTGGGCCACATCATATATGCCCTAGTATATTTGTTTTTAGGCATCTTGATCCAGATTTACACCATCAGCCTAGATTGAAGGCTGTCTTAGCAAACAGCTTATAAAATAGAAAGACCAAAATCTTTCTTGCTTTGGACAGAAAATAGACCAAAAAGGCTCACCCTTTGGATCATGGCTCAGGTGCTCACCTGGTTGGGAAGAGACCCTATCTTAAAAATAACCAGTGAGGGACTGGAGGCATGGCTCAGTTAGTAGAGTGCTAGCCAGTGACCAAAAGCATCAGGTACCCAGTTCAAGTCCTGATCTTGGACCAAAAGATAATAATAACCAATGAAAAGCTGATGGCTCATACCTGAAGTCCTTAGATACTCAGGAGTCTGAGATCTGATGGTCATAGGTCAAAGCACACAAATCCATGAGACTCTTTTATTTCCAGTTAACTAGCAAAAAGCATGGAGTGGAGATGTGGCTCAAGTGGTAGAGCACCAGCCTTGAGTCATAAGCCAAGAAAAAGCTAAATGAGACTAAGGCCTTGAGTTGAAGCCCAGGACTGGCACAAAAAAAGAAAAAAGAGAGAGACAGAAACAGAGAGAGAGAAGAGGGGAGGGAGGGAGGGAGGAAGGAAGGAAAGAAGGAAGGAAATAGAATAATGAAGCCTGTTGGGGGAGGAGAAATGAGGGAGAGTGATGGAGGAGAGAGGTTGATGAGGTGTAAGTTGTTGAGATGGATGGTATGTCACAATGAAACCCCCCCTTGTACAATTAATGGGTGCCAATAAAAAACTTAATTAAAAAGATAAAAAGAAAAGAATTAAAGCTATTTTAGAAAACAGCATGGTGTCTCAGCCTGAGCTTACCCTAAGGATCTCTTTAAGGACTTACTTTCTTCCATCAGTCTCTGTCTTTGGATTAAACCCACTTAAAAAAACTATATATATTTACATATTTTATTATTAATAACTATTTTCTTTCTGGGTGGTGCTGGGGTTTGCAGTTAGGGTATTACACGTGCTGGACAGGCACCCTACCACTCATGCCACACCTCATGTTTTTTTGAACTTTATTTTCCAAATAGCCTCCCAAATTGGCCTTGGATTGCAATTCTGTTCCCTGTAACTTCCCCAGTAACTGTGACTACGCCTGTTTATTGGTTGAGATATGTTGTCACTGACACAGGTTGGCCTTGATCCTCCTAATTGTCACCTCCATAGTTGCTGGGCAAAAAAAAAAAAAAATTGTTTAGCTTTATTGTATAATTCACATACTATAAAATTCACCCATTTAAGCTGGGTGCCAGTGACTCCGGCCTGTAAGCCTAGCTACTCAGGAGCTCTGAGGATCATGGTTCAAAACCAGCCTAGGCAGGAAGGTCCTTGAGACTCTCATCTCCAATTAACCACCAGAAAACTGGAAGTGGTGCTGTGGCTCAGGTGGTAGAGTGCTAGCCCTGAGCATAGAGCTAAGGGACAGTGCCCAGGCCCAGAGTTCAAGCCCCATGACTGGCAAAACAAAAAAAAATTCACCCATTTGATGGGTTCAATTTAGTCTGGTCACAGACTTGTATGTCACAACCATAATCAACCTTAAAATAGTCTACTCCCCCATGATTTTGTAGAAACAAAAAAAAATTAATATATCAGGCTGGGAAGGTGGCTCAGTGGTAGAGTGCTTGCCTTGCATGCATGAGGCCCTGGGTTCGATTCCTCAGCACCACATAAGCAAAAA